CTGTTCCCGGCGTGGGGCGAGGCGGAGGGGGTGGGAGCAGGCGCCGGGTTTCGGGGCTCTGTAACATGGTTTCTCATGTGTGTGTTTTCTTTCTCTCCTCCTCCTTCTCCCGCCGCCTCTCTCCTCCCCAAACACACACGTACACACACACACACATACTCTCCCCCTCTCCCTCCCCCTCCTCAAGGCCGAAAAGGCAAGCCAAACCTGCAGCCGACGAAGGCTTTTGGGATTGTAGCGTGTGCACCTTCAGGAACAGCGCCGAAGCCTTCAAATGCAGCATCTGCGATGTCAGGAAAGGCACCTCCACAAGGTACGTCCCCACCTTTCAACGCGGCTTTTTGGCCCACGCTGGGCTGCACTTGTTGATTTTTTTAAAATTATTGGGTTTTTTTTTTCCTCCTGTTGCCTGGATATCAACTGGTTGTGTACCCCTTTCTCCCCAATGCGGTCCCTTCTGTCCGTGTTCAAAAGCTTGTGGATTTAAAAAATTCTCTTTCACGCGTTTAATTGGAGCTGGAAGACATATTTCATGGATATGGCAGCGACCTGAATCTTTTTGTTTTTACATGCTTTTTGTCACTGATGTACGGACGACCTCCTGGACATCCACAGCTAGCCAGAAATGTTCTGACTGTGGTTTGGGGCAGATGGTTTTCTGTGGTTTAGGTGGAGATTCGCCTGTGTTTTCTGCAGGAGCAGAGATGATTGAGGATTAGGGAGCGAGAAATGAAATGGCTGAAACTAAAGATGCCACGAGAACAACAACTCCCTTCCTGAGATGTTGATCTCTCGGTGTCTGTTGTCATCCAAAAGGAATCGGCTTTGTGCTCAGTGTGGGAATGGTGCGGATTTCTGAAAGCTTTAGCTGTCAGGTCTCCCTTGACTGCCTTGTGCTGAGTAACTGTGGAAGTCTTTACGAGAAGGTGAAGCTGACATACAGTAGTTAATTTAATCTCAAAAAAAACCCAAACCCACCCAAAACTTGTGCTCTCCCAGTTAACGGGTTCAGAAAGTTTGTCCTGGAAATATCAGTTGGTGCTAAAACAGGCATGTGGTGCTCTGCTTTTTTTTTTCTTTCTCTTGTTCATTCCCCCATGTGACTGGTGATTTTGTTCATATTGTACCTTCCAAATTTGAGCTCCCGTTGCTCTGCTCTGCCAGGGAAGCAGTCCGTAAGATTTCCATTGTTGAAAGGCATCATTTTGTTCGTTTGAGTGAAGCAGTGTATTGAGATGCTCTCATCAGCAGGCTGTTTGCATGACTTGGCTGTCTTGACTTGATTGACAAAGGAGGTGAAAGCGCTTTCGGTTGGTTATTGTTTGTGCTGTGCTTTAGACAATGTGAAGTGCCCACATTTTTGAGGGGGAGTGTGCTTTTGGGTCACTGAAACTCTGCGAGTTACAGCAACAGAGTGCTGTCGTGCTTTGCTATGCGTTTTATGATGCGCGTTGGCTACAAGTATCTCTGCACTTTTCACAGAAAACGGAGGTGTTGAACTTCAGACTATTTTAAATTGTGTAGTTACGGCATTGAATAAGGTTGACCTTTTGGGACAGGAGTGTTCTGTATGTACCTAGAGCTGATTCTTCACTTGTTCACTCTTGTTTTGTTGTGTGACTAAACCTTCGTGGCACGCTTGATTTCTGTGGGTTTCTGTTTCCTTGGCATCCCCGTTGGCTCAGGTGAAACACGTTGATCCTGCAGTCCCTGGCCTTTAGCTGTGCTGGTACAGCGCGTAGCCTTGCAGTCACCGCAAGCTCTCGCAGCATCACGACAAGCATGTGCAGGAGTGTTTGTAGGAGGAGCGCCTTAATGAGATATAGGAGCCCATATGGGCTGTATCTTGTAGCCGACTCAATCATTTTCCTTTGGCCACCGTGCTGATGTTCTTTTTAAGAGCAGCAGCTTTTCCTTGCTTCCCCTAACTGTTCCTTTATTTTTTTTTTTTTAACCCAATAATTTTCAAAATGTTTGCGCTACTAGGATGTTTAAAGGGCCGTTAAGAGGGATAGCAGTTGATGATTCCAGGTTAAAAGCTGTAGCTGTACTTGCAGATGTGATCCTCGGGTCTAGAACATTGTACTTTGTTTAGCTTTTAATGGACCCTTATGAATGGCTTCTAATTTTAATTCATTTAATTCATCAGCTTTCTATTCATTCTTGCTGCTTTTTAAATCGCTTTTGTTTGTAGAATTTGAGAAAGTATTTAAAATATTCAATGGGCCATCATGTCTTCTTGCATATTTATATCATTTATGAATAAATATAACTGAAAGCCAGAGTGATTGAATGTTGTGAGTGAGCATCGTCTGTTGGGAAGACCTGGGAGGTCAGAGTTCTTTGTTGTGGTATTGCTTTGAGTGTTACGTATGAGTCGATGCCGGGGAAATTCTTCAGAATTTTTAAAAGAAATGACTGATGTGAAGATACTTAACGAGTTATGATTGATAATTTATTACTTGAAATATAAGGTGTCTGATGAGCTTGACTTTTAAGTTGCAATTTGACAAGTTGATGACACTTTTCCACACGGAGGACTGCCTTGCTTCATTAAGGCTTATTTCAATAACACTTAGCAGAAATTTATCAAACTCACTTTTTAAAGAACTCAAGAAAGTAGCGAAAGACACATCCTAGACGTGGTGAGGCAACTGGTTTTCATCAATTTATTGTGTGCAGTTACAGTATGCCCGCTTTTCTTATTAAGATCTGATGTGACCTACTTTCCCCCACTCCAGTGTGAAGCCGGTTATTTGCAGTAGAATTTACTTTGGCTGATAAATATTCTCTGACTGGAGAGCTAGTTAGGACATTAGCTAATTCTCACTGTGTGTATTTTTTCAGACTCGATAAAATCTGTTGGTGTGTGGGAGGGGTGGCTGGCAGCCGTTAGAAGTTTTACTTTCTTGGATCAAACTATCCCCTTTCCCTGGGATCTTGTAAAAGGAGCTTCAAACATAGTGAGTTTTAGAGTTAACCTGCAAGGTCAAAATCACTGTAGATGCTAAACAGTTAAATTGCACCTGTATACTTTTCTTTTTCAAGGGGCTGTTTATCAATATTTCAGTTGCACTTTTAAATAAAAATGAGGTCAAATCCATCTTGAGAGAATCAGGAGTTGTTGTGCAAAGATTACATTAAACCTGTAGTACTTACCTGAATACTGGATTTGTTACAGTGTTTCACTAACTCCCTTTCCTCAGCCTCATTCTTACTCTTTTATGGTTACACTTTTTTATATTCTACTTAAGCAACTATGTTGAGTTTTTCTGCTGTTGTCCTTAGCGAGATTCACGGCAAAGACACAAACTGTGTTCAGCACAACGTTCAGTGGGACAAGATGGTGATTTAACTGGCTAGCTCAGGATCAAGCAATGGCAACATGTTTGCTGCGGTATGCGATACTTTTTTTTTCCTTCCCAAAGGTTTTTGTATTGGTGTAACTGTGCAGGGAACTGATTCTGGCCACCATTGCCAACTTTGTTATTCTGGTTGTTTGCTTTGGTGTAGCTCCACCAGCTCCTGCACACAGGAGAAGGCTTGAACTAAAGCTTCTGATGGGAAGTTTGTTCCACAGATGTGTTCCCTTCCGATATCCATTACTTTTTCAAGTGAGGAAGGAAAGTTGGCTGTGGATTTCCTAGGAGTGCGAGGGCAGGATTTCGCCTTGTATTTCCCACAGCGGGGAGCTGTGCATTCCTGTTTGACGGCGGATGATGCTCCCTGTTTCCATTTGTTTTTCTTAATGATATTCTTGCTCCTTTCCCCCTTTGCTCCTCTGACGGTTTATATATGTTGTGTTCCTGTACACCTCTTCTTGTAGCTTCCTCTCTCCTCCCCGGCACTGCGACGCAGAATGTTTCTCCATAGGATTGCTGTCGGACATCATTGTATTTCTCTCCTTCCTCTAGTTTCACATTGGCAGTTACTGTTTTCTGAGGCTTTCCTTTGGGATAAATAGACGTGTGATGTGGTGGAGATTCTCTGATGCTAATTTTTCTCTGACTTTCCTTGCCCAAAGTTCACATCCTCTATCATGACAGTGCCTCAATTACAGAGGAATGCCCTAAAAAAAGTCAGTGGAAGATGCAAGAGCAACAGCTGGATATCTGACATGCAAATTAACCAACCAATGGGGCTTTTTAGTACAAAATTAACAAGTTATAGTGTCTATGTCCTCTGCAAGGCATGCACTTGATAAGTATTTCTGTTGTATTTATTGCTAGTCCCTGTAGGCGTGAAGCGCATGCTTTGGAGTCTGCGTCGAGTGATTTGAACATATATTTCACTGTGGAGTGCTCAAGGAGTGCGTGTCAGTAGTGCTTCACTCTTCCGCCAGCCTCATTTTTGAGGGGAGGCCAGCTGAGCTGAAACTGTTCATCATACCTTCAAAATTAATTTTCTCTTGTGTCGAACAGGTGTGTCAGATCCTGGCCTTTGTTTTCCTTCAGTTCTCCAGAAAATTCCTTTGCATATTTGCAGGATCTGAGCTAGCATCTTGAAGGATGTAAACGACTGTCTGTGTTACCACTGAAGAGTATTCTCTTGTTCTGCATCCAAGCTGGGCTGACCAGAATAGACACCAGATAGTCCTGCTATTCCTGGAATGAGGAATCGGGCTCATAATCCTGACCTTCGTACAGTTTGTATATGCCCTGCTTATTTGCCATGTATTTGCAGGTCTGTTCTTATAAAATACCTGTTGTAGCTGTGGTGTAGGTTGGGAACAAAGTGATTTCATTCAGTTCTTTCAAGTTAAATAACATTCACCTGCGTTAAGGTGGGTTTTATTTAGCGTCATAGCTGGCTTATAAGTGGGCTAGTTTCTATAAAAATGGAGTATGTGACTTACCTGGAATAAATTTGTTGTAGAAGGGACACTGGTGCCTTCACTCTGGAATACATGTTTTACTAATTGGCTGTTTAGATCTCTGGTTAAATCATCCCTATTTCTCCTGTTGATGGCTGAGGTTAAATGGATCAGGTGGAGCAAAACGTGGCCTGTACCAGCCTGGAACTGGGCTGGTGCTCCGTGGGGCTGTCCAGATCCCGAGGACGTGTCCCCTTGGGCACTGCTTCATTGATAACGAATAGTTCTGCCTAGGTAGTTCTGAGTGCTGGAACGCAAAATGTTTGCCCACGTGCAAGGAGTTTTTTCAGACCTCTCTTGTCTCATAGCTTGTTTAGCAGCACCGTCTAAATGTAATTAGCTGTTACTTTCTGAATTTGTAGGCAAGGAGTACTTTTGCTGCGTTTGGCAAACCCACCAGGGCAGAGGGGCTAAGGACAGAAGGGGCCTTTTGCAAACCT